GTTTAAAAAAAAAGAAGTCAGAACGACAGTGATACTGTGATGGGAAAGGTCCTTGTGTCTGCCCAGAGGTGGGACACGTGCTTCTGAAAGCCTTCTCTCTTACATCCGAGCTAAGGAGGTGGAAACCCATAGTTCTCCCCCTTCCCTGTGAGGATGGCAAGTTCCTAGTCAGGGAGCACTGTGTTCTCTAAGGGAGATGTGGATCGATACTAATCCAAGCAGCAAACCCACATGTGAGGATTTCAGAACGCGGCTAGGCATGAGTGAATAATGGTCAATTCTCCAAGGGCAAACTCAATATGGGTCTGTAATGGGAGACTCTCCATCCTTTTTATGTTTGAGATAAAGTCACAAAGGCTCCATCCAGATGATGGGGGCCCTTTTTGTTGTCTCGACGTATTCTCACTGACCACACACAGTTGCTGTGGAGAGAGTAGAGTTGCAAATGGACTGCTGACCTCCAAAGGATTTTTCAGCTAAAAAAAGTGCAGTGGTGTCCATGGGCCATTTATAGCGAGTCCAGTAAAAGCAGATCCATAAAGTTCTGTGGTGCTGGAGCCATTCTTCAGCAGCTCTAGAGATCGTTACAAATGCAGATAAAGATCTGCTTTGTAGGAACTGCTTATGCTTATGGAGAGCGATAGGGAAAGTAGAGTAAAGGATTAGAAGGTGAGGCCATGTGACTTTTCATTGGCTTCTCATTTGCCAATGCTCTTTTTTATTAATTTAAATTTTTTATTGTTGACACTATTGCAGATGTCCCCATTTCACCTCCCACCCCTTTGCCCATCTTCCCCAATCCCTCTCTGGGCCCTCCCCACACTATTGTCTGTGTCCATGGGCTATGCATTTATGTTCTTTAGCTAATCCCTTCACCTTCTTTAAACAGTCTGCCCCACAACCCCTCCCCTCTGACATTTCTCAGTCTGTTCCATGTATCCATGCCTCTGGTTCTATATTGTCCTTCTGTTTATTTTGTTCATTAGATTCCACATATTAGTAAGATCACATGGTATTTGTCTTTCTCTGATTGGTTTATTTTACTTGCCAACACTCTTTGAAAGAGCATGCTTTTAGCTTCTGTATATTCTGAGTGTATAAAAACCAGGCAGCCTCCCCGAGTTTTGCCACTTGTACGTACTGAACACAATGGGCATATTCAGTACATGCCATACATTTTCTTTCATGTTAAAGATAAATTACAAAGCAAACACACAGGACCCTAGGGACCTATTTCCATTCTTTCTCAGTAAAAATATCTTTCCTGTTCCTTCTATGGAATAGGAACAGGGCAGGATTCTTGTTCTTATCTCCTCTGCCTGGTGTGTTCAACCCCTCTGGGTCTGTGGCTCCTACTAGAAATTCAGACCTCAGTTCAGATGTCGCTTCCTCTGAGAAGTCTTCCTGGACTACTGAAGTAGCCTCCCTCCTGCCCATCATTACATCATCCTTTCTCATACCCATTTTGCTGTCTTTTAAGCACTTAGATCTGAAGTGACCCTGTTAAGTTGTTTTGGGGTTTATTATGTATCCCCTTTACACGAGGGTCTCTGGGTGGATTTTTCACTGTAGGACCCCTGTGTTGGGCACACAGTAAGTTCTCCACTAAATATGTTACGTAAAGCAGAGCACTTGACTAATTGTACCAATATCAGCTTTCTTCTTCTTCTTGGGAAAGAGTGGTTGGTTCCCTACCTCATTCACTTATTTGTTTTTGTGTTCTCTGAACATTTATAGAACAGCTGCTAGGTGGCAGGCAGTGTAACACAAAGTCCCCGGGGGTGAGGTGGGAGGAGACAGACAAGTAAACAGACAGTTGTGATATGTGTTAATGGCTAAATAGAAAGACACACATCTCCCTGCTATGACCTCAGCTGGGCCCTGGTCCAGCAAGGGCAGACAGGGAAGGCTCCTGAAGAAGTTGGCCCTGACGCTGTAACATCCTGCATCTCAAGATCTTTTGCCATGAGTCCTCTCCACACCAGGGAAAGGCCATTGTTGGGCTTGTCCTGTCTATTTGCCATCACCCGATCGCGCTCATCTGCTCCAACTCTGTCTTTTTTCAGACCATTAATTCTCTTCAAAAATGATCTAGGGCCTGTTTCAGCCATCCGATGTGTTGTATGTCATTTGTCACAACTTGACCCTCAAGGTCTGTGTAGAAGAGAGAACCATAGGCTGCTTACCCAACTCCTCTTGGTATGGAAAGCAAAATTTGAATAGTTAGAAACTCTTAATCGCTTACAAACTGCCTTTTGCTTCAGGTGAAGTCAGAGTTAAAGACAAGCTGTCAGGGACAGGAAAGCAGGGGCTGTGGTGAGGGAGGCGTTGGCGTTTACCTGGTCAGCACCTTGTGCAGGTTCCATGGCATTTCTTCTCTTAGTTTTCCCACATTTTCCAGGCTACTTGTTTGCAGTGTTGAGTCCATTGTTCCTCACAAGTTTTCTTGGAGAGAGAAGGACCCCCCACAAACAATGCACTCCCGAAACAAACACTATGCAAGCTGGCATTTGCACTGCAGACCCAGTTTCATATCAGTGGCCCATTCCCTGTGGAAAATGGCTGCATTGGGTTATACCAGTTCCTAAATTTTAGGCTCATAGCGAGCTCACAGGAGTCTGTATGTGTGGGTGTGTTTCTTTTGAAACTATGTTAGTTAATCATTAGTTTATGACCCATTCTTATCATTGATCCCTTTGGGCCTCTTATGTTTGATTGACTGATTAACCTTTTCCATTATTTTCCATTTCCATTCCCAGCGACAGCAACCAGGTTCATACATATCTTTGACTTTGCATACAACCTTATAAAATGATTAGTATTATTTAGTATATATGCACTTTAAAGTTTTATAAATTAAATGAGACTGTAGAACTCATTTTATTCCTTTTTATGCTCAGAACACTGTTTGGGGAGACTATTTATGTTGCTGGGTATACATCTATTTTGTTGCTTTTTAAAAGCTACAGGTATCCAGAAGGGTGTATCATCCTTATTTTACTTATTTGTTCCCACTGACAGTGAACACTCAAGTTGCCATCGTATTCTTTTTTTGCACCCAGAGTTTTTCTAGAATATATGCCCTGAAGTGGAATTGCTGGGCAATAAATTTGACTAAATACTCCCAGCTGGTCTCTAAAAGAGCTACATGTATCAAGAATCTTTCAGAAGTGTACAAGTATTTGCATTTACTCAAATCTCTGCCAGCATATAAAATTGCCCGACTTCCTAAAATTTTTGTTAATCATACAGGTCTAAAATGATACCTAGCTGTTTTGGTTTGCATGGCTCTGATTATGGATGAGTTTGAGCATGTCTCCATATACTCACCCTTTGGGTTTCCCCTATTGTGAACTGGCTGTTTATATCCTTTAGCCAATTTCCTGTTGGTCTTCCTGCCCATTTTCTCATTGATTTGTAGGGATTTCTTCTTTATTCTAGATATTAGCCCTTGTTAGCATTTGATTTTGCAAATATATTCTTTCAACTTGTCATCTATTATTTTGACTATGATGTCCTTTAATGAGTAGAAATACTAAAAATGTTGATACAATCAAATTAATCAATTTCCCACCAATGGTTGATGGTATTTTGGGTCTTATTTTTAAAGTTCTTCCTCATGTGGTAGACATTTTAGGTTGTTTTAAGAACTCTGTAATTTGAATCCTATTAAGAAGCTCTAAAGAGCTTAGCTTTCCTCCCAGTTTTGTCCTACAGTCATTAGATGATTCAACAATGAAGGAACAGGATACAAAATACAGAGTTGTATGTGATTTTGCAGAAGTGCTCAAGGCATCTTGATTTTTAAAAATCTATTTCAAAGTCATGTAGGTGATCAAGTTTTCTAATACAATTTCCCCACCATCTTTGATCTACTTTTGGGGCCATTTTTGCCTGAGACACTTGCCCTTCCTTGCTCATTTTCCTTATCAAACTCATGGAATCAGTAGAATATATTCCCTGCCAGAGCATCACCTTTGCTGCTCCAGGCTATAGTCCATGCACATCTAGGCCCATCCTCTTCTAGACCCTCAGGGCGCTCAGGGAGGTGCAGGCATTTCTTTTTATACTTAAAGACCCTCTGCAGGTGCCCTCTGTTAGGATCCAGCAACAGCCTTAATCTGGTATGCTCATCCATACTTTGAGACACACTCTTTAAGAGCAATCCATTTATTTTTACGTGCAATCCTCTTGGGTTCCTTCATCTTGTGACTTTTCATTGAATGAGCCACACCTACACATGTATCAGAGCAGGCAGCTCCAGCCAGGGTACTCCTGGACTCAGGGAAAGTTGGCTCTGAGAGGAACCACGAGGGACTGTTCAGTGGTTTTCAGTGAGAGGTAGCATACCACCTCCTACCCCGGGGGCATTTGGAAATATTGGGGGAAGCATTTTTGGCCATCACAACGACTGCCTGTGCCACTAGCACTTAGTACCTGAAGGGTAGGGATGCTAAATGTCCTACTATGCCTTGGGAGGTCTAATAAAGAATTATTTAACCCTCATCGTGCCCCATTGAGAAACAATGACTCAAATCCATTTATTGTAGATAAAGAAATGAGACTCAGAGAGGTTGGCGAGTGCCCAAGCTCACACAGCTAGATCTGAACTAGAATATAAGCTTCCAGACACTTAGGCTGTGGTCTGTCTATGGATACAAGTACATTTCACTGGGTGAGCTTATTCCAAGCTCTTCTTGTGGGTGCAGGAGCCATCCCATGTGCACCCTGTGGTTGTTTTTAATCTTTTTCCTCTCTCTACATTTTACTGCTTACAGCTGAGCTCGGTGATTACGATCCTGATGAGCATCCTGAGAATTACATCAGTGAGTTTGAGATTTTCCCTAAGCAGTCACAGAAGCTGGAAAGAAAAATGGCAGAAATCCATAAAAGCGAACTCAGGTAATTGGGGTAGACGTTTGTAAACATGGTAGAGGTGTGAAAGCATTCTTACCGTGGGGAATGTGGAAGCCGTGTTGTGAAGTGATAATGTCTGTAATGTATGGGCAGACTGTTTCAGGTGTCAGAGCAGTATTTCTGGGCACTGTTAAGCTCCTCTATTAATAACAATTGCAATAGTGTGGGGTCCCCTGGGTGGCTGTTTATGAACCATCAGCAGTTATTAGAGCCATATATTTTCTTACGGGTTTTAGCCACCCTGTGTTTCTGAAAATGAAATGTAGGGTAAATCATTAATTTGTTTTGCGGTTTCCACTACCTCTCCCCTTCCTGTGGTCATTGTTGGAAGCTTTGACTCCATGTAGAGTAGAATCCCTTGAGAGGGTTTCCTTTGCTGAGCTGCTCTCAGGGCGACAGATTCAGTGGCCTCTCCTCTTTTCCTTGTCTGCGATGCTCCAGAACAAGTGCTCAGCAGGGTAGTAATGGCAGGAGTAGCAAAATCACATATAGTATCCTCTGTGTCCGACACTCTTCTAAATAGTTGCACGTATCAACTCATTTAATCTTCACAACAACCTAGGAGATAGGCGCCATGGTTATTCCCATTTTATAGATGAGGGAGTTTTACAGAGAGATTAAGTATCTGACTCAAGATCACACAGCTAGCAAGTGGCAGAGGCGGGATTTGAACCTAGGCTGCCTGGCTCCAGAGTCTGTGCTCGTAAGCTTTGTGTGATGCTTCCGCTTAGCATAGGCTACCAGGGATGAAGTGTAGCAAGTGTAGGAATCACTGGCAATTTTGAATTCAGGTAACTCAGTTTTTCTAGTCTGTAACTAGAATTCAGGTCCATGCAAGTCACAGAAATATTCGTTATGATAATCATAGCAAGCTTGGGCTGTGCTGTGACAAGTATCGATGAAGAGCTGCAAGAGCTGAGAGGCTTCTATCTTCTGGATCTCTGGTAATTATTTAAAAAAAAACCTTAGTGTCACTGGTTTATGAATTCTGGAACAAACTATTGTCCCCTGTGAGGGAATGCTGGAGCTCCCTACTTTATGCTGGCACTCCCTCTTCTGGTGAGTCTGAGAAGAGCATATATGTGGGCATTAAGGTGGCAGCATATTTCCCCTCAGAAAACATGACCTTTGTTCTTAGAGATAAAGATGATTAGATATAAAAAAAAATCGTGCCAATTGAAGAAAGCAACATATCTTCTCTATTGGTAATTTAGAGTATTGTTTCCTAATGCAAAGCTTTGCTGAAAACATATGACACTCTGACTACTTTTGACATTTTGGGGATAAGCGTGCTCAAGGTAAAAATAAAGTTCCAATATCCAGTTGACGGGTATGTGGGCCAGCAGTGTCTGGTGAGCACAGGGTCAGACCCTTTGGGTAAAGGACTCACACAGTGTGTGGATTGGTAGGAGATGGAGTTGAAAGGTCTGTTGTAATCAGAATTTGCAAGGCCTTCAGTGCTTGGAACATATGGTAATTACAAACATTTATTGAGCACTTACTGGGTGACCAAACCCTGTGCTAAGAGTCTTATTTGTATTACCCCACTCAAACTCTATGAGGCAGGTGCTCTTGCTGTTCCCAGTCCAAGGTGAAGAGAGCATACCGTGGAGTGTCTAAAGGACCTGCCTTGTTAGCGGCAGTCAGGACTTGAGCCTTGCTGTTATCTGAAACTAACACACATGTGCTGAGCAGGCGGAAAGCCACCAGGTGGTTTAACTAGTGGTTTGGCAGCCATGCTGGTTTTCCACAGCCATCACCATGGCACTGGCATCAGAAGGTGAGACTGCGGGCAGGAGGACCAGTTAGTCATTCCTGCTGTCCAGGCAAGAGATGTCATGGACCTGAAAAAGAACAGGAGTAGAGAACATTGAAGGGTGTCTCAAGAGTCATTGCAGAAAGACTTAGTGACCCACTGGATTTCATGAGTGAATGACTGAATCAAGGTGCTGGATTGTTTTTTTATAAACAGAAAGCTGCATATTGGCCCTTGTGCCAGCATCTGAATTTTCTGATAACCCTGAAAATGGTCATCGTGCACCTAGGGAGCAGAGGGGGTCATCAATCAACTATGGTGTACTAGATCTCGGAAGTTAATGCCACAACTTGATCAAAACTGCCGTTCTGTGTCACTACACATTTGTAACATCCACATATGGACCTTGTAAAGAAGTCAAAGTTGTGTGTCCGAGGGATGAAATAACTAGAAACCATGTGGCATTGCAAGGAGAGGGTGTTTGCCTATGCATTTTGCTAATAACCAAGTAGCCCTGCATTTCCTGCAGCATCGGTGCAGCAGAGTGATTTTAGGTTTGGATGGGGAGATAAGACTAGAATAAGCTGATGGTGCCAGGGAAGGGGGGGGTGCTTTCTAGAATCGGTTGGAACCCTGCTGTAGAGACTCAGGTCACTCTGGGGGTTTAGCAAGCCCTTTGTAGGTTGTAAAAATGTTGATCTCATGTGGGAATTGGGTTGCTCTGCCAACCTGACAGTGTCAGGAAGGAGTTGCAAATGGAAGAGAGCATTACGAGCCTGCATCGAGGTGTCACCATCTTATTCTCCAAGGTTGTCACAGCACCCATGACCCCCCACACAGCAAATGGGTAGTGTGTGATCATTGATCTGTTGTTACGGAAACTTCCTAAGAGCATCCAGTTGGCCTTTCTTGGGGGTTGAGTGCTCCCCAAAAATAACCTCCTGTCTTCTACTTGATTTCTGAACCAGTTGAGTAAAGGAGATGGTAATAGAGACACTCAGACATGAGCAGAAATGATGATTTACAGTGAAATATTTTTGACCTGTGGGGTTTCACAACCTTCTGCAGCCTTTTTTACTTGATTGACTCGGTCTCCTTCTGTGTTCTCTGAGGAAGGGGTAAGAGCTGCGAATCTTGGGAGAAAATTAATCAGGGAGTAAGGAGAACCCTCCCCCCCTCCCCAGGAGGCTACCCACTGCTAGAAGTTAGAACAAAGATGGCTTGAGAGGCACGAATAAGAGGCTCCTGTAGTGGAAGAGAGTGTGAAAGAGTGACTCCTTGGAATTTTGAGGTGCTTGGAAATAGAAGATCAAGATTTTACTAAGAGTTTCCATGCACTGAGTGCTCAGACTCCTTTTATTTTTGAGTGAAAAGCGAAATGCATGGCCGGGTCAACTTTGCTTCATTAAATGTGCCATATCCTTGACCGAACAGGAGGGTCAGAATGAGAAGTCATAGTTTTGCAAATATAATAATATAATTTATTGATCATCTCTGTGTCAGTCAAGAAAAGCTAGATATTGCTGGGGAAACAACCCCTAAAGCTCAAAAGGTTTAGAACAAAAAAGACATTTATTTCTCTTGTGTGTTCACCAGATGTTAGCAGGAGTGTATGTGTGTGGGGATGGGGGTGGGCGGGGGAGACCCAAACTTGAATTTGCCAGTTGTTGAGCCAGAGGGAAGAGGGATCTGGAAGCTGTTGCTTCAGCTTGGAAGTGATACATGTCCCTTCCACTTAACTACTATAGTCACATGGCCCTACCCAAGAGCAAGGAACTGCAATTATATGAGTTGTCCAGAAGGTGCAAACTGGAAACAGCTGGTAAATAGCTCTTAGTGGCCTTCACAATATCATTAACTAATAGTTTTTAAAAATAGACTTTATTTTTTAGAGCAGTTTTAGATTCATAGCAAAATTCAGTGGAAGGCACAGAGATTTCCCCTATACCCTCTGTGTAGCCTCCCCCAGTATCAACGTTCTCCCACCAGAATGGTACATGGGTCTCATGGGTGTTAAGATCTCAGATAATGATGAACCTACAGGGAAACATCATTATCACCCAGAGTCCATAGTTTACCTTAGGGTTCACTCCTGATGTATATTCTATGGGTTTGGACAATAGTATAATTACATGCATCTACCAATATCGTATCATACAGAATACTTTCACTGCCCCAAAAATCCTCTGTGTTTTGCTTATTCATCATTCTCCACTCTCACCAAGCCCTGACAACCAGTGATATTTTTACTGTCTCCATAGTTTTGCCTTTGTTAAAATGTTGTACAGTTGGGTCCATACAGATTGACTTCTTTCACGTAGGTAATATGCATTTAAGATTCCTACATGGCTTTTCATTGATAGCTCATTTTACTGCTGCATAATATTCAATTGTCTGGATGTAGCACATTTTTTGTCCATTCACCATACTGAAGGACATCTTGTTTGCTCCTAGGTTTTTGGATTAGCTTCAGACATAGGTTCTCGGCAATTATAAACATCTATGTGCAGGCTTTTGTGTGGGCATATATATCCATCTCCTTTGGGCAAATGCCATACCAAGGATAGCAATTTCTGGATTATATAGAGCATATTTTGTTTTGTAAGAAACTACCAAACTGTCTTCTAAAGTGGCTGTACCATTTTGCATTCTCACCTGCAATGAATGAGAGTTTCTATTGCTCCACATCTTTGTCAGCATTTGGTGTTTTCAGTGTTCTGAATTTGGGCCATTTTAACAGGTGTATATAATAGAGTTTTATGTAGAAAGATTTTATAGAGGCAGCTTTGGGCCTCTTAATATACTATCCTGTGAGCTAGACAATGAGGGAGATGTGTGATTCACATTATTGAATAGATGTCAGTAAAATCCACTGAGGCTGAATAATTCTAGATCAGGGGTGGTTAATAAGGTTTTTTGGGGGCTATATGGCCTTTATTGCAGCTACTCAGTTCTGCTTTTGTAGAGCAAAAGAAGACATAGACAATACATAAATAAGTGGGCTATGATTCAGTAAAACTTACTGACAAAACAGATGGTGGGCCAGATTTGACCCATGGGTTCTAGTTTGCTGACTTCTGTTCCAAACACATGGCAGAGCAGGTCTAGTATTCACAAAGTTCAATTGGTGGTAAAGTGGTTTTGAGGAAGTATAATAGTCCCCATTGATCTGTGGTTTCACTTTCCATAGTTTCAGTTTCCCACGGTCAATCAAGGTCAAAAAATATTA